ACAAACACACAACACAAAATCTATGAGACTCTATGAAAGCAGTCCTGAGAGGGAAGTTCATAGCACTACAGGCCTACCTCAAGAAACAGGAAAAATTTCAAATTGACTTTCTAACTCTATTACTTAAAAAAATAAAAAGTAAAGACAAAGAAAAACCCCAAAGCAAGTAGAAGGAAAAAAATTGTAAAGGTCAGAGCAGAAATAAATAACATAGAAACTAAAAAAAAAAAAAAAATTCAAAAGATCAATGAAACAAAGAGCTGGTATTTTGAAAAGATAAACAAGATTGATGGGCCCTTAGCCAGACTCACCAAGAAACAAAAAGAGAAGACCCAAATAAACAAAATAAAAAATGAAAGAGGAGAAGTAACAACTGACACCACAGAAATACAAAGGATTATCAAAACATACTATGAACAATTATACACCAACAAGTTGAAGAATTTAGGAGAAATGGACAAATTTATAGAAACACACAATCTCCCAAAACTGAACCAGGAAGAGATAGAAAACTTGAACAGAACAATAACAATTAAGGAAATTGAAGGTGTAATCAAGAAACTCACAGCAAACAAAAGCCAAGGCCCAGACAGCTTCATGAAGGAGTTTACCAAACATTTAAAGAAGATCTAACACCTATTCTCCTCAAACTCTTGCAAAAAATCCAAGATGACAGAAGACTTCCAAAATCATTTTATGAGCCAGCATAATCCTAATTCAAAAACAGGATAAAGACACTACAATGAAAGAAAACTACAAGCCAATATCTCTGATGAACACAGATGCCAAAATCCTTAACAAAATGTTAGAAAATCAGATCCAGCAATACATCAAAAAAATTAATCACCATGACCAAGTGGGATTCATCTCAGGGATGCAAGGATGGTACAATATTCACAAATCAATAAATGTGATACACCACATACACAAAATGAAAGATAAAAACCACAGAATCGTATTAATAGATGCTAAAAAAGCATTGAACAACATCCAGCACCCATTTCTGATAAAAACACTCAACAATCTGGGAATAGAGGGATCATATCTTGACATAATATAGGCCATGTATGAAAAACCTAAAGCCAACATCATACTCAATGAGAAAAAACTAAAAGCTTATCCCTTAAAATCAGGAACAAGACAGGGATGCTCACTTTCGCCACTCTTATTTAACATACTGGAAGTCTTAGTCACAGCAATTAGACATGAAGAAAAAATAAAAGGGATCTATATTGGAAAGAAGGAAATTAAACTGTCATTATTTGCAGACGACATGATATTGTACATAGAAAACCCTAAGGACTCCATAAAAAATGTACTAGATTTTAAAAATGAATTTGGCAAAGTAGAAGGGTACAAAATTAAGGTTAAGAAATTGATGGCATTCTTATACACAACAATGAACTCACAGAAAGAAAAACTAAAAAAAGCAATCCCATTTACCATTGCAGCAAAAAAAATAAGATACTTAGGAATAAACTTAACCAAAGAAGTAAAGGGCCTCTTCACAGAAAACTACAGGTCATTGAAAATGGAAATTGAGGAAAATATTAAAAAGTGGAAGCATTATACCATGTTCATGGATTGGAATAATTAACATAATTAAAATGTCCATACTACCCAAAGCAATCTATAGTTTCAATGCAATCCCCATAAAAATTCCAATGACATGTTTCCCAGAACTAGAACAAATACTTCAAAAGTTCATATGGAACCGAAAAAGACCCTGAACAGCCACAGCAATCTTGAAAAAGTAGAACGAAGTAGGAGGGATCACAATACCGCTTATCAGGTTATACTACAAAGCCACTGTAATCGAAACAGCCTGGTACTGGCACAAGAACTGGCATATAGATCAATGGAACACAACAAAGAACCCAGAAATGGACCCAAGACAATGTGCTCAATTAATATTTGACAAAGGTGGCAAGAGCATACAGTGGAGTAAAGACAACCATTTTAATAAATGGTGTTGGGAAAATTGGACATCTACATGCAAAAAAAAAAAAAAAGAAAGAAACTAGACCATCAACTTACACCATACATCAGAATAAACTCAAAATGGAAAAAAGACTTAAATGTGACTCATGGATTTATAAAAATTCTAGAAGAAAATGTAGGCAACAAAATTTCAGACATCATACCCAGCAGAATTTTCACTGATACAATGTGCAAGACAAGACAATCAAAGAAAACTAATGAACACATGGGACTACATCAAACTAAAAAGCTTCTACACAGCAAAAGAAACAACCCTCAAAATAGAAAGGAAACCCACTATATGGGAGAACATAATTGCCAATGATACATCAGATAAGAGGTTAATTTCCAAAATATATAGAGTATTTATACAACTCAACAAAAGGAAGACAAAGAATCCAATTAAAAAATGGGCAGAGTACCTAAAGAGATACCTCTCCAAACAGGAAATACAAAAGGCCAAGAGAGCCCTGGCCGGTTTGGCTCAGCGGTTAGAGCGTTGGCCTGAGGTCTGGAGAGACCCGGGTTCGGTTCCCGCTAAGGGCACGTACCTTGGTTGCAGTTTGTCCCCGGCCCTGGTTGGTCGTGCGGGTGGCAGCCACTCGATGTGTCCCTTCACGTCGATGTTTCTCACTCTCTCTCCCTTCCTCTCTCTCCCTCCCATTCTATCTGTACCAAAAATGGAAAAAATATCCTCGGGTGAGGATAAAAAAAAAAAAAACAAAAAAACAAAAAAAAAAACAAAAGGCCAAGAGACATATGAAAAAATGCTCAGTATCACTAATCATCAGAGAGATGCAAATTAAAACAACAATGAGGTATCACCCTACACCTGTCAGAATGGCTGCCATCAACAAATCATCAAACAACAAGTGCTGGCGAGGGTGTGGAGAAAAGGGGACTCTAGTACACTGCTAGTGGGAATGCAGACTGGTACAGCCACTATGGAAAACAATATGATGTTACCTCAAATAGTTAAAAATTGAACTGCCATTTAACCCAGTGATCCCACGCCTAGGAATCTACCTAAGAAGCCTGAAACACTAATCAGAAATAGTATATGTAGCCCTATGTTCATGGCAGCACTATTTACAATCGCTAACATCTGGAAACAGCCTAAGTGTCCATCAACAGATGAGTGGATAAAAAAGTGGTGGTACATATACACAATAGAATACTATGCAGCTGTAAGAAAGAAAGATCTCTTATCCTTTGAGACAACATGGAGGGGCTTGGAGATTATTATCGTAAGTGAAAGAAGCCAATAAGAGAAAGACAAATATCACATGATCTCACTTATTTGTGGTATATAATGAACAAAACAAACTGATGAACAGAACAGACTCAGAGACATACTAGTAGAGTATAGACTGACAAACCTCAGAAGGGGGTCTGGGGGGAGGTGAAGGAAGAGATAAACCACAGAACTTATATGCATGTATGCATAACCATAAACATAGACAACAATGCTGGGGACAAGTGCTGGGGACGGGTGTGGGGGTGGGATCGGGAGGAGGGGTCAATGGGGAAAAAGGAGAAACGTTTGTAACAAAAATAAATTAATAATGAAACAAAGGATTTCATGGTCAGAGATGTGTAGAGAGCACAGCCTATCTTTTCTTTTTCTTTTTGGAAATACAGAATGCATATTAAAGACCTGAGTTATTTTGCAAAAATAAAAATAAATGATAGAAATGGAGTTAAATCTGTATTAAACAGATTTTGGGTGATGAATCTGGCTGTCCCTCTGGCAGGAAAGATGAGTACCCAGAAATATAAATCTAAAATGACTCATAGTCAGAGATTATGGGTTCAGTGGCTAGTCAAGAACGCAAAAAGAACAAAATTAGAAAATTAGTGACAGAGATTTGGGGGAGAGGTATGAATAGGGATAATTCAGAATGAAAGATTGTTACAAAGTTAACTCCCATGTAAATAACCATAACTGACAACCACAGTTGTGGAGGAGACTTTCAATAATCAGGTAGACAACATGATATGTGCTGTGAGCTGTAGGAAGCCTTTTTCTCCAGACACTCTGATGTTTGATCAATGGACTAGTACAAAATGGCAATGCAAATGAAATGAATCCTATGCATGGGATCAACAAAGTTGTCTTCTACTACCCAAGGACTACCTGCAACTAATGAGTGCCCATTCTGCCAAAGGCAATGGTCAAATCTGTGTCCTAGATAAAATATTAATTCTACCTCAGCAGGCTACTTTGGTGGCAGATTATATTGACACTATCACATCGAAGAGGGCAACACTAGGTTTCAGTAAGGTATACTCTTACTCCAGTAATGAATTTGACTTCCTGCCCACTGATCTACTGCAGCACCATCATACATAAACACAAAGACTCATAGTATGCTAGAACCATCTCCCTTGTATTTAATTTACCATTGTCTCCGCACTGATCATTTCTTGAAAGTCACCTCAGACCATCATAGCCATACCTCTCTCAGGGATTTTGGACAGTTATTTAAACTAACTGTTGTGACAACTGATTGAATGCAAGCCTGATAGTACCTTTCCTCGTGTCCTCATTATGTTCTTCTTACTACCGGCCTGTGACTAACCAATCACCACTGCAAAGTGATATTTTCCTCTGTGCGTATGCATGTACAACACTGAAGTGTGGTAAAGATAGAACCCTTTAAGTTTTTCACTATTATCTAGCCAGACACTACTTTTATTTGTTTTTTTTTGTATTTCATGTTTTTTTTTCTCACTAGAATATAAAAAGTATGTTTGTCTTCACTTCTATGTACCTAAAGCACAAGTGACTGGTGCGTAGTATGTGCTCAATAAATATTTACTGAAAAGAATGAAGCAAAATAGCCACTTTTACCTCACAGCATACAGAATTTTAGCCAGAAATTAAAATTCACTGACACATCCTGTGTGGTTAGACTATTTTTGGACTTCCTTTTCGTCTTTGATATATTGTTCTAGTAGGGATTTCCAAGGCTAAAACTATTATCTATTTTCTTTGACTATTCCCTGGGTAATATCACATGAGTACTTTGGAGGACATGGAGACTGAAGATGGCTACATGATGCTGAATTGCAAGAATCGTTTCAAATCCAGGCAGAGATCTAAAGGTAAGAATGCTGTTATTCCTCACTCAGATTCCAGTTTAAAATTAAATATATTCTGGGATTAAAAAAAATAATAAGTTGTCTAAAGTAGGTTATTTAGACTAATGTGAACATCAACAGTACAAAAATAAACAAACAAGAAAAATACAACTTTTGCAGCCGTAAGGCCAAAGAAATGCTAATAGGATAATGTATAATCTTTTCAATGTGGTATAATAAGAAGACAATGGTAACTTTCAAGTAAAAGGTCAAAGTTAAAATTTTTACAAAAATTATTCCTCCTACAAAACATAAGATTCTTGAAAACAGCTGTTTGAGTATGGTCCCTGTGTGAAGATGCCGATTACACTCAGAGGTAAGGACCCAGTGCCGAGGGAAGGAGCAGGCATGGTGCCGTAGTGTCTTACAGTTTAAAAAGGCATTTTTGTATGTACATATTGTATTTTATTAATCTTCTAAAAAGAGCCATGCGATTGGCAGAAAAGTTCATTGGGAATGAGAGAGGGTAAAATAAAACATTAATGTTTGTTATTTAGGACTGCTGTAGCTGGTCAAGGTTATTATGTTTGTTTTGTTTTCAGATCTATTGCAGGTTTTATAGACAAGTTTAATATGCAACATACAATGTCTAAACTCACTAGGTCTAAAATAAAATTTTTAAACAATCCTGTTGAAATAGCAATGAAGCTTGGATGACATGGGCCAGAAATTAACTTCTGGGAAAAACCACAGTTTTGCACTATGTACTCTTGTCGGACATCTTCATGTACTATCTCAGTTTTCATCTAGGAAGTTCAAATTTCTTTTTTCAGAAATGTGATACTTCTCTTTATTATCTGAAGGCTCAAGGTCTTTTCAATATTGGAGACAAACACTTTCTTTTTCACTAGTAACTTATTTCGATGTAGTAAAAACTAAGACCATTGGAGTTAAATGGACTGAATTGGACTCCAAACCCTATAGATGCAGTGGTGAAACTAAATTATTAAGTATTTTTTCTTTAACTTATAAGCCACATTTTAACAGATAGGTGAGTAAAGATATATAACATTTGAAGGTAGGGGTATAAAATACAGGATAACATTTCTTTAAATTATGAGTGAAAGAATAATAAAGCTAAGAACATAAATTAGGCCTGCAATTAAGCAAAGATTACATTACTACAAACATGCTTTTTGCCTGCCATAAATTATGTTTCTAAGCTTCTTTGTAACTGATGAGTAAAGGTAGTTCAACCAGTTATTTGACACACATTGTAAGACAGTTACACTTATTGCTTAAGATGAATATAATTACACCTACCATGGGAGGTGACTAAGAGTATTAACCAAACAAGATCGGAAGTGAAGCAAGATTAGAAGAGCATAAGAACTAAATAAAAACCAAAGTCTAGATCATGAAAAATGTCAGAGAAAATTAGCAAGTCTGAGGTCAAAGCTGAGGATAGAGAAAAGAGGGGATAAAAACCTACAGTCTTGAGTAGCCCAAACAAATATATGGTAATTCCTGGATGGATATAAGTGCTTGCTTGTGGGAGGGTTCACAGAAAACTTTTAGTATTAATGGTACATCTAAAAGGAGATGTTCATAGGAATTTGGAAGGCTGAAGTTGAAAAGGGAGCTTTTAGGCCTGCTATTGGAGATTTGATCTGTGTAGAGCACATAAAACTATGAGAATAGATTAGCAACTTGAGCATTATTCACAGAGCAAGTAGGGATTACTACTCTCATAGTACCTGTTAGTTCCTCACTAGCACTTCTCACAATTATATATTTTCTCAAGATAATAAAAATATAATTATGGAAAAAAGGTGGATATAATTTATCTTGTTACTAAATCCAGAAAGAAAAGTTTCACATCACAAAGCAGATATTATAATACCATGAGTGCTCTTACAGCAGTGATAATGATAGGTTTCCCAGAGCAATTATTGGATATTGCCCCACAGATGCCAATCACATCCAGTCAAGCAATTCTGGAATGGTCCAATGCAAGCCCTCAAAGTTCTGGGCTCCCTGTTCACCTGGTTTCATATAGTTCGTACATTGTAGCTTTGATAAAAAATATTAATTTTTAATTTATAGCTGTAATATGATTTGGCAATGAGTTTAAAATTTCCCTTCCTAGAAAGTATGAAACCAATTAACTGCAGATAAATGTGCATAGTATAGGTGTTCCTGCATAGTGTGCAGAAATAAATTTTGAGGGTTTTCAGCTTAGTAGAGGTCTTTCTACTTTTGTCTGAGTGAAGAAATACCCACAGACAAGATAAAAAAATTAGAAACTTACTTCAGATTTATTTCGTAATACAGACAACTGGGCAGTAAGTTTCAAAAGTTTTACAACATACAGCACATGCTATAACTATGTATTATAGATATAAAGAGATGCACTAAGTCCATGAAAATCAATTGAAATAAATTATCCAGATACCAACCAGATTTGAGAAAGAGCACTCTTTTATTATGACTTAGAACACCAATTTTCAACCTTTTTTTAAAATCTCATGGCACACACAAACCAACTAAAATTCTGTGGCACACCAAAAATATATATTTTTTGCTTATCTGACAAATAAAATAGGTATAATATTTATTGATTCACACTGGACAGCTATTGTTGTGTTGGCTGTTGTCATTTTTTTATTTGACAATCTGAAGAAAAAGAGGTCAGTGTCCCTGACTAAACAGTCAGGTACTACATGGTTTAAAAATTCTTGTAGCACATTGGTTGAAAATCACTGACTTGGAACTATTTTTGAAATGTACAACTATGGTGATAGAATTAAGTGCATGTTTATTTATAAACTAATAAAAACTGGAGAATAATTATCTGAGTATCAAGTTACTTGGCTTCTCTTTGGCCACTAGCAAGGCAAATTGGCTAGAATGCTTCTAGATTGAAATAATATTTCTATGATTATATTAAATGATATTCCTATATCTCTGGAAGTTCCCCATTTATTCCTCTTTGAAGAGACTATTCCTGTCAACTCCAATCCAGAGGATCACTGTGGCAAAAGTTCTTTAAGGGCAGCATTAAATCAGGATCTATCTTAGGCTGACGCTGATTCCTGTCCAAAAAGTCAAAACCAAAGATGTACAATATATCATATGTAAAGGTGAGATAACATGTGAATATTTTCAGGACAATGACTGGTACATAACAGGACTTCAATAAATGTTCCTTTTCTTCTTTTATTTCTTAAAGTGAGCCATTGCATATATACACTTGACATTAAACAATCCAAACATGAAATTTAAAAAATTCCATTTATAATAGCATTATACAGTATGTAATCAGATGCTATATATAATTTCTATTTTTCTATTTATAATATATGTGATATATAGAATAGATATTATATATTTATATATTATAAAGTACTATATATTATTCTATGTTATATATATAATATAAACTTTATATAGTTACATGCAATACATATAAAACTATACAATGTAAATTATATATATATTTATATAATTTTATAAATAATGTTATCAAAACATCACCAAATAATTAACAAAGCAAGACAAGAACATGTTTTTAAAGTGTATAATCACAAGAGTTCTAAAATTAATGAAAAAACATCTCAACATTTCAGATTTTGCCCTGTGTCCATATTATTATGGCATTTTGCTAGTATTTGGATGCACTGGGATCCTTATTTTCATGATGACAGTGATTGGCCTGAACTTTTCGAGTGAGTATGAAATTTTATTAATATTTGCACTTTCAGAAGATAAATTGATCTTTAATTCTTCTTAATATCAAGATCAGCTCCACATTGTGGTGCAAAATTGGTAAATTAAACTTTCTAGCCATATGTCATGCTAAAATATTGTTTGAAATTTTAGAAAAATTAAAAAACACTCAAATATAAAATAAGCATTTATTCTGCATCATTCCTTTTGAAAAACTTCCAGTAAAAAGTTGACATTATTTTATAAAAAAAAAAAAATGATGTATTTTTGCAGACCATTAAGTGCTCATTTGTATTACTTTGAAAAATAATAATATAAATGTATGAATATGCTAGTTAAAAAGGGGGGGACCTGTTTGAAAACAAGTTTAGGTTGACTTCTGTACCTTTTTTTCCCCTGAAGTGCTATTTAATGTGTGTATTCTGTGTTCAGTCTTTTTAAACTAACCAGTCCAATGCATGGATGCATGGGTTCTGCAGTTTTTGTGTTTCTCTTAAAACGGTGGTTCCTGAAAATGTCGGGCTAAAATGGGTACTGTCATATATAATGTTGACATGGAAACATAAACTTTGGAGCCTTTGCAATGAGATATCTAAATATAGATGAGCCCTAAAGACATTCCTCTAAGGGAGACAAAGAAGGATCTATTTTTGGGGGGCAATAATATTTTTTTTTGTGTTTTTCCTATTACAACTGTAGAAAATGTCAGATTTTTCTAAGACCAAATAAATATTCTCCTTAAGTAATTCTACTGTACTTTGAACAGCATTTTGCCTGAAAAGCTGTCAACCAGTCATAACCCTCACATATGTTCAATCCTTATATTGAATTAAATTACGGATAATATTAAATTTCCACCTCTTTAACATTAAATATTAGATGACTGTTAGTTTTTATGAGTTTATCTAAATGAGCATCCTTTAACCAGTAATTCTAAGAAGTTGACTACACTGTAATATTAAAACTGTTTTTTAAAAAAAACTAAAATTCAAGGGTAAATGGTTTCTTGTTAGGCACTAAGTATGATATTTACAGAACACCATTGCTCTCTTGTGACTTGGTTTTCTCTTCTGTAAAATACAAATGGTAAAATGACATAATTGGTGCAATAATCATTATTTTAGAGAAAGATGGTTTTCAGAAGAAATCAGTGATATTTGACAGTGATGAAAAATGTTAGTAAGGACCACATTTTTTTTGTAGTGATTTTTTTATTCCAATACAATTTCAATATTTGTATTTCTATTAAATTAGTGCTTGTATTTGACTAGTTTAAAAATATTTTATGGTTTTCAGTTTAAAACAAAGCACTGATCACAAATAGTTACACATCTGCTGTCTCCCAAGGTTCTATATTAGAACAGTAAAAGATAACAAAATAAATTAAAAGCACAAAGATGGACAAAAAGAAAATGAAAGCAGATGGGATAATGCTATTGGATTAATCAATGGAGAGAACCACAGATCAAAGAAAGCACAGCACAGAGTGACAGTGGGGACATTCCTCAAGGGGAAATCTAAGCAGGAGTGTTTTCAGAGATGAGTAGAGTGTAAAGAAAAGTCTAAAGCAAAATAACAAGCTGAAAAACTTTCTAAAGAATGCTCTTAGAATGCTCTCTTGATAACCCCTTACTCCACTCACATGGTGGTATTTGCTATCATATCATGGCAAAATAAAACAAAAAAGCACAACAAAATTCTTTTAAAACAATGAGGTATATAACTAGAACAAGCTAGGGCTACTCTTTTACAGAGTTGTGGTCGATGCAATAGGGTATATGTCCCCATGTTTTGGTTTTGGAGGGGATAGAGGAATTATGTATCAGTTTATGGCATAGCTTGGCTATTTCTTGTGCCCTTTCTATCTAAAAAGTCATTGTAACTCAGATATTGAGAAAACTCAGAAAAAAATTACTAAATATAAATAAATTGAGATTATCTGAGACAAAAACACAAAATACTGTCCTACCAGGAAGAGTAGTATCTCTAACAAATTCCCAGAAGAAGAGAATATGGGGGAAAGCATCTGGGAAATAATTAAAAAGTAATATTAAATAAATTTTAGAAGCAAAAACAAAAAACCAGGAGTTTTCAGTTTATAACAACCCCAAATTCAGAATAGAATATAAAAACAGATATAGATAAATAAATTATAAATGGATAGATGAAATAGATAAATCCTCATCATATTTTAGGACACACTTGATAAAGATACAGTCCCAAAAGTTGCTTAGAGAATTATCCCCCCCCCACACACACGTACAGACCCCAGGGAAATGCCCAGTTCCTACACTATTATGGGACATATTGCCCAGCTCAGGTTCTTTGCTATAGCCACCACCTATTTCCTTGGTGTTGTCAGAAGACAAGATTCAGTTCCTGGATGCTGGTGGAGGAGGAAGAGTGATTCTGGGGCTTCCTACAAGTACTGAGTGAACAATTTGAACTTTTTAAAATATTTAAAAATTAACAAATCAACCATCTCCCCAAAAGAATTAGTTTTCTTACCCAAAGCAAAGAGAAACAAATTGGCATTAGATTTTAAAATGTATATAAATATATACCACTGTAGTAATGTCTTCAAAGCTCTGAACTTGACTTAAGTTTAAGATGAGAATAATCAAGCAATATAATTTTCCCACACACTCTTTTGGAACAAATAAAAGAGGAAGGGCACAATATTAGAGTGAAGCTAGCCCAAGAATGTAATGAAAACACGTTGCAAGTTATCAGCTGTTCTGTGTCCCTGGAAAACAATTAATTCAGTCTGTATGAAAACAACCTATAAATAATGCAACTAAGAAGCTGAAGACACTTGATATGATAAAATAGAGAGGGTGTCTGGAATAAGAAGAAATAAGGTAAAAAATGATATACAAAAAAGTAATAGATATAAAGTTTAAGCATAACTTCAGTAATCTTGAGAAAGAAGAACAAAGTTGGAGGTATCACAATACAAGATAAGCAAACTATACTACAAGGCCACTGTAATGAAAACAAACTGGTACTAGCATAAGAACAGGCATATAGATCAATGGAACACAACAAGAGCCCAGAAATCATCCCAAGTCTTTATGGTCAATTAATACTTGACAAAGCAGGCAAGGACATACAGTGGAGTAAACACAGTCTCTTCAATAAACTGTGTAGGGAAAATTGAACAGGTACATGTAAAAATAAAATTAGGCCAATAATTTAAACCATACACATGGATAAGCTCAAAATGGATAAAAGACTTAAATGTAAATTGAAAAGCCATAAATTTCCTAGAATAAAAGATAAGCAATAAAATCTCAGACATCTCTCTCTCTCTCTCTCTTTTTTTTTTTTTTTTTTGGTATGTGCCCCTAGCAGGAACCGAACCCGGGACTCTCTGGTCTGCAGGCCAATGCTCCAACCACTGAGCCAAACCGGCCAGGGCTCAGACATCTCTTATAGCAATATGTTTTGCCAATATATCTGCTAGAGCAAGGGAAACAAAAGAAAAAGTTAACAAATGGGACTATATCAAACTAAAAAGCTTCTGCACAGCAAAAGAAACCATCAACAAAATGAAAAGGGAACCACTGTATGGGAGAACATATTTCCCAGTGATACATCTGATAAGAGGTTAATTTCCAGAATACATAAAGAACTTACACAACTAACACCAGGAAGACAGACAATCCAATTAAAAATGGGCAAAGGACCTGATTAGACAATTCTCCAAAGAGGACATACAGATGGCCAATAGACATATGAAAACATGCTCAACATCACTAATCATCAGAGAAACGCAAACTAAAACCACAGTGAGATATGACCTCACACCTGCCAGAATGGCCACCATCAATAAGTCAACAAACAGTTAAGTGCTGGTGAGGATGTGGAGAAAAAGGAACTCTAGTGCACTATTGGTGGGAATGCAGACTAGTGCATCCACTGTGTGAAAAAAGTATGGAGTTTCCTCAAAAAATTAAAAATGGAACTGCCTTTTGACCCAGCAATCTCTCTTCTAGGAATATAATCTAAGAATCCTGAAACACCAATCAGAAAGAATATATGTCCCTCTTTGTTCATAGCAGCGTTGTTTACAATAGCCAATATCTGGAAACAGCCCAAGTGCCCATCAGTAGATAAGTGGATAAATGAGATGAGTAGATGTGGTACATTTACACAATGGAATGCTATGCAGCTGTAAAAAGAAGGAACTCTTACCTTTTGAGACAGCTTGGATGAACCTGGAGATTATTATGCTAAGTAAAATAAACCAGTTAGAGAAAGACAAATACCATGTAATCTCACTTATATGTGGAATCTAATGAACAAAGTAAACTGACAAATATAACAGAACCAGAAGCATGGATACATGGAACAGACCAACAAATGTTAGAGGGGAGAGGGGCCGGGGATGGGGGTGGGGGACTGGAAGAAAGAAGGTGAAGAGATTAGCCAAAGTACATATATGCAAAGCCCATGGATACAGTTAAGTGTAGTGATGGCCAGAAAGGAAGATGAGGCTGGGGCTGGGTGGAGATGGGCAAAGGTGGGGGGCAATGGGGTACATCTGTAACAGTGTCAAAAATAAAATAAATAATGCATACAATATTTATAATTGTGATTAGCACTCAAAGGAATAAAAAATAGATATGATAAAGAGTGGCTAATTCTGAGGAAGGAGAGGAGTAGAAGCCTAGTAGAAGAGAAATACTTTCAGTTTTCATTTGTGTATCTTTATTTTGTGCTAGTATTTTTATTCTCATATATCTAAACTGCTATTTATTTTTAAATGCTACTCATTATATTTTTTCTTTGCACTGAGTACAGATAAAAAAATGGATTTCTCACAGAATGAAAACATCAGCAGTTTAGCAGGTAATGTTTTTGTTTATTTGTTTTCCCATAATGTGATACTCTATGTTAGAATCCAAAAATTTCAACCAATTGGTCATATAAATTTAGGCAAATTAAACATTAAGGTTTTGTTTTTATTTTTGAATGGGGATATAATAACTACATCATATAATATTTAGTATAGTTTAAAGCAACTGCAATGGTTAATTTTGTATGTCGACTTGGCTTGGTCATGCATGGTACCCAGGTTTTTGGTCAAACACTAGTCTAGATGTTCCTGTAAAAGTACTATATAGATGAGACTAGCATTTAAATCAGTAGATTTGAATGAAGCAGATTATCTTCCGTAATGTGGCTGGGCCTCATCCAATTAGTTGGAACTTAAAAGAAAAAAACACTGAGTTTCCCCAAAGGAAGAGGAAATTCAGCTTCCAGATTCCAGATTCCACCTGCAATATCAACTCTTCCCTGGGTCTCCATCCTGCCAACCTGCTCTTCGTGAGAGCCAATTCCTTGAAATAAGTCTCTATCTACCCTGCCCCTCAGTTAGTTCTATTTCCCTGAGTAATGCACCAATTAATATAGTATGGAGGCATTACAATGCAGTGGTTGACCAGATGGGCTGTAAAGCCAAACAAATGGGTTATAATTTTACTTCTGATATTTATCTGTTGTATGACTTCAGGAAAATTATACAATATGTTACTTAATCTCTCATCTGTAAATTGGGGTTGATAATAACATATACTTCAGAAGGTTTTATTTTTTCTTAGATTTTTATTATAAAAACTAGAAGTAAAACTAGTACCTTTCAACAGTATTAAAAATTGTTAGTACATAATCAATATTATTTCATCTGTATGTTTTCCATTAACATTTTCCCAAACTAGATTATATCAGATATCATGCCATGTAATATTTAAATATTTCAGTACATGATTGATTCTTACAATTAAGGGTTCCTTTTGCTTAACACAATCACAACATCATTATAACTCCTGTGTTAGTTTTCTCTTGATGTATAACAGATTATCACACACTTACCAGTAAAAATTATTTAAATACACCACCTCCAAGGGTTGCGAGCCTGGGTACAGCTTAATAAAGTCTTCTATTCAGGGTCTCACAGGATATAGTTTAGATGTTTGCCAGACCACACACCTTCCTGGAGCTGAGATTCCTCCTGCAAATGTATGTGGTTGTTGGTACAATTCAGTTACTTGTGATAGTAGGACTGAGGTCATTTCTTTGCTGGCTGTCATCCAGGGCTGTTCTAAGCACCTTCATTTTCTTACCATCTGTACTCTCATACAGCCTCTCAAGAAAGACATTGAAGCCCTGGCCAGTGTTGCTCAGTTGCTTGGAGCCTTGTCTGGTGCACCAAGAGGTTGCTGATTTGATTCTTCATGAGGACACATACCTAGGTTGTAGGATCAATTCCCAGTGTGTGGGGGGGTGTGCATTAGAGGTGGCCAATTGATCTCTCTCTCTCTCTCTCAATCAGTAAAACATATCCTTGAGTTAAAATTGAAACAAAAAACAAATTTAAAAAAACATGAAAGCTTAATTCTTCAAAGTCAATTGGGATTCTCTCTCTCTCTTTAGGAAAGGCCCAATCCCCTTTTAAGGTCCTGTACTTGACTAAGTCATGCCCTCCTAGGATCACCTCTATTTTCATTAACTCAAAATCAGCTCACTGGGGACTCTTCTTTCATCTTCAAAATCCCTTCTTTCATTGTACCATATAATAAAACTTAACCATGGAAGTGATATCCTCTCATATTCACAGGTCCAACGCACACTCATGGAGAGGGAATTACACAGGCCATGTATATCATGGGGAAGGAATCTTGGAGTCCATTTTAGAATTCTGTTTACCACAATGCCTAACAAAATTAGCAATAATTTCTTAATATTATCTATCATCTAGTCTGCATTAAAATGTCTTATCTTTGATTTATTAGAATCAGAATCAGAAGAAAGACCACAATTGCATTTGGTTAAAATGTCTCAATGTCACTTAAATCTATTAATCTTTAGATCCTCTTTACATCATTTATTTTTTTTTTTGCCCTTTATTCTGCATCCAAAGTATTGCTAAAGAATTTTGTTTTGTCTCCATTCTCATCACCCCATATTCCTTTTTATTATAGAAGAAAACACTTGAAGCTGAGTTAAGTGTAATAACTCTTTGGACAATTGGTATTTACATTTTCCATTGTATTTTACTGTTTCAACATCAAACATAATGTGTTTTGCAGATTTAATCTGAATTTTACTGACCCATCTATCAGTATCCACCTAATGAAATCACTTGGTCCAAATGACTAATTTTTACTAATAATAGTAAATAGATAGCTCCTCTCAAGTTATAAATTGGGAGATTATATTTAAGGTCATTTTATACCTTTCAGCACACAACTATGTGCTTGTACAGCTAAAATTAGAATCTAATTATCCTTAGTCTTTTAAATATTTTTTGCAAAATTATAACTGTTCATGATTGACAAATCTTTCTCTGGTGCAAAGTATATTAATAAAGTAATAAATGTATTGAACATTAGTTTATGATCGTCTTCAGGTCATATCTGCTGATGATACTTTTTTTCACATCTTAGCCGGATATATGTATTCAATTTCTTATAATAAATTTTTATAAAATTTTAGGCTCTAAGATTACAGATGAAAATATTAGCAATGAAAAATATATGTTCTAAATTATAGACATTTACTTCAATCATTCAATAACCAACAATTAGGACACTATAATAAAAGTGCTACATAATAAGAGATTAAAAGATGAATAAGGCAGTCATCTCAAGAACCATCCAGTCAAGTAAAAAACATGGATGCATTCACAACTGACTAGGCCATAGACAATCCTTCCTTTTCTAAATGACACCCAAATGTTATAAGTCTTAGAGGTGGCAGAAATTATGATTTGTTAAAAACTTTTTAAAAATTTATTTTTTAATTTAACTGGTATACAATCTTATATTGGTTATATTAGTTTCAGGTGTACCATACAGTGATTTGATAATTTTGTACCTAACAATGAGATCACCCTCCTAATTATAATAATCATCTGTCACCTTGCAAACTTATCACAATATTATTGATTAAATTCCTTTCCCCTTTTTACCCATCCCCTTACCCTACCTTCTGGTAACCATCCTTTTGGTCTGTTACTATGAGTATGTTTTTATTTTTTATGTTTGTTTTGTTTTGTTTTTAGATTCCATGTACAAGTGAAACTACACAATATTTTCTCTCTCTGCCTGACTTATTTAACTTAGCATTATACCCTGTCTATTCATTCATGTTGTTGCAAATGGCAAGATTTCACTCTTTTTTACTGTTGCATAATATTCCGTTGTGTATATATACCAGATATGAATGCTTTGTTTTTGAAATGTAAATATGATTGAACATTAAAAGATAAGTTTAATTTAGAGGGTGCAAAAGGAATGGAAGGCTATTCAAGGTTAAGGGAACAGTGTAAGGGAAAAATGCAGGTGGATGAACGTATCCAATGCAACGGAGTAAGTAATGGTAGTGGTAAATAATTTCAGAGAAATGAAGTGCCAGTTGTAAAAACAACCTTGAGAAAAAGGAACTAGAATCAGATAGTGAAGGGACTTAAACAACAGGCTTTTGCTTTTTCACTCAGTAGTAAACAATCAAAATATTTTACATTTGTTTCTTCTAACTATGGAGGTCAGAATTCATAAGCTTTGTTCACTCCAACTCATCACCCACAACCCTACCCACAGTTCTGGAAATACACAAATGAGTGAATTAATCTCATTTGTATTCTAATAGACCTGCCTTTTAATCACAAAAAGTGAGTTGGTAAAGGTCTATTTTCCGGTCAATCACATTTGATACTATTCACACTTTCTCTATTGACTATAGAGTTTAATTAACTTTTTTCTACATTTTCTTTCAGGAAATAATTATATGTGCCAAAATGACTGGCTGTTGAACCAAGGGAAGTGTTACAAATTTTCAACTTCTTCTAAAACTTGGAATGACAGTCAATGTGATTGTGCAAAGCTCCAGGCACATCTGCCGGTGATTCACAATTTGAAAGAGCTGGTGAGGAAACAGAAACGGAATCTAAGTGTCCAAGAAAAATTGCTAGGAGCAGTCCAAACAGTGTGGGTGGTTTATAGTCATTGTTTAGAACATCCATTAGCCTTAATATAATTACTATTGTTTATGATAAAAACAACAACAACACTATTATTTATGAAAGAAATGATTATTTACACCATCTTCAATGCCTGGCACAGTGCCTTACTCTATAGAAGGTGTTGACATGATTTTGAATAAATGAATGAATGAATACACTATTTCCTCTGCAGGAATTCATACAGAAGAGTTTAAAACCTGGATGTGCTAGTTGGATTGGACTATACATTTTATCCCCAGGAAAGCAATGGATGTGGATAAATGAACACCCTTTTGTGGAACTAAAAAAGTAAGCAATTATTTGAGGGAGAAGGATGGTGTAATGATGTTGTTTTGTTTATAGAAAAGTATTTTTAATTAAGTTTCCTTGATATCCAAAATTTTTATAATTTTTTTCTTCTTACCTCCCTTCTTCTTTGTAAATTGTTTTTCTCTCCTATTTTCTTTCTGTCCCTTTTTTTCTTCTGTTCTTTGTCTCTTTTTCCTTTGCTTCCTTTCCTTTTTTACATTCCGTAATGTTGAGAAATGAAGTTAGAAAGTATTCATTATGGCATCTGGAAATTATTAATTGTCAAACACTGATTTTTTTTTTTAAAGTTAAGCTGACTTGAATGTCATTTGAAATAATTTAAAGCAAATATTTTCTATGTAGTAAATACAAAAGTAAAATTCACTTACAAATAAAAGCACCCAGAATATATAAAAACATCTCTTGAACTGATATCTGAAAGTATGACTTTAAAATTTTGCCCTTAGAAAATTCTCCAAACTTATTAATATCAATTTGTTCATCTGTATGAAAATAAGAATGAAACTTTCCTCACACTGTTCTTGTGTGAACAATATAAGGTAATACATGGAGGAGTACTTTATATTCTGAACTGTCATATACATTTATTTAAACTTATTTTCTTTGTATTGATGTTAGAGAGAACGAGAGGGAGAGAGAAAGAGAGATAGACACGTTGATGAGAGAGGACATTGATTGGCTGCCTCCTGCATGCCCCCCACTGGAAATCAGGTCCACAACCTGGGCATGTGCCATGACCGGGAATTGAACCAGAGACCTCTTGGTGCGTGGGTCAACACTCAACCACTGAACTACACCAGCCGGGCTAAAGTGTCATATACATTTACCCATTCTCATCTTTGCTCTCATTTTCTTTTACAACTTTTTTTATTGTTGAAATTATTACAGATGTCCAATTTTTTCCCCATTGACCCCCTCCTCCCCTCCCCCACCTCTCCCTGCTTTCCCGAATCTAATGTCTGTGCCCATTCACGTTACGCTGCTGAGCACCTCAGACCTGGCAAGTTGGAATAAAGGCCATGGGGTGATAGTTATTTCAGTCTGGATGTTTATACTTCTATTCTCCATCATCTTTCATGAATATAAAACTAAAGCATGAAGTACTATTCAGTTTTTTGGACCTAATTTGATTGTAACTTTTGAAAAAATTAGTAAGAAATACATAGGCTCTTTTATTTCATTTTAAAACTGACATATTGTTAGGACACCACATCTCTTTAAAAGCATTCATTTAGTTATTTAACAAAAATGATGTGCAGATGGTTATAATAGTGTTTGATTTTTACATTTTAAACAATAATCAGTAACTAAAAGAATAGTTAAGAAAATAGCTTTCTCAAAAAAATTCTATCTATACATTTTCCTAACCCTGTCATACAATGAAGTTAAGTGAGAAAGTTACTAGTCATTTAAACAGTTTTTACTTTAACTTTAAAAAGAATTTTTTTTTTTCTATGTTACTGCTTGGTAACTCCCATTCGTGTAATTATCATCACACAGTCTATAGCAAAACCTCCATTTTAATATCTAATTAACTTTTTTTAAATTATTTATTTTTGTTACAGATGTTTCTCCTTTTCCCCCCACTGATCCCCTCCTCCCCTGTCCCGAGCTTTGTTGTCCATGTCCATTGTTCATGCATACATGCATATAAGTTCTGTGGTTTATCTCTCCCCCACCACCCTCGCTTCTGGGGGTTGCCAGTCTGTACCCCACTTCCACGTCTCTGGGACTACCCCATTCCTCAGACTGTTATGCTCATTATATTCCACAAATAAGTGAAATCATATGATACTTGTCTTTCTCTGTTTGGCTTGTTTCGCTTAGGGTGACATTTTCCAGGTCCCTTCATGTCATCTCAAAGGATAAGAGATCTTTCTTCCTTACAGATGCATAGTACTCCATTGTGTATATGTACCACAGCTTTTTTATCCATTCATCTACTGATGGACATTTGAGCTGTTTCCAGGTGTTAGCTATTGTAAATAGTGCTGCTACAAACATGGGGGTACATATATTCTTTCTGCTTGGTGTTTCAGACTTCTTAGGGTATATTCCTAGACGTGAGATCACTGGGTCAAATGGCAGTACAATTTTTAATTTTTTGAGGTAACACCATATTGTTTTCCATAGTAGCTGCACCAGTCTGCATTCCCACCAGCAGTGCACTAGAGTCCCCTTTTCTCCACACCCTCGCCAACACTTGTTGTTTGATGATTTGTTGATGGCAGCCATTCTGACAGGTGTGAGGTGATACTAATTACCTTTCAAAGAAAATTATTTATGTTATGTGGAAAATTAATATATGGGAAGTAAACTTGAAACTGAAGTGCTATTAGATACAATGACCAGAGAAAAGGGAAAGGCACCAGTAGCCTGAGCTAGAAGTGAATGAATACGAGGACTTACCTGGGGATAGAATACCCAGGACATGCTGATATATGTACGTACATAAGGTGAGAATTGAGAGGGAAGGAAGAGATAAGGATGCTTCTAGTCTTCAAGTTTGAGCTTCGATGCTAGTATTACTCAAATAAGAGAGACACTGGGGCAGAAGTGGGGTTGGGGGAGGGCTTGAAGAAGCAAGCAAATCAAGAATGCCCAAATGCAACCTTTGGCAACAATAGAAGAGTCCGTTTGAAAACCTCTGCGGCATTTTGGCTGCTGAGTTAGCTGTACAAGTCTGGCTGTATAAAACTATAATAAATTAACCATTGTTATAAGATACAGTCTCTAAAGTCTGTCCTTTATGCCCTTTATCTCCTAGTTTTTCGATGATCAGTCCAACTGGTAGCATGAGCTGCGCTGTCACGACAAGAACTCAAGTGTACTCTGAAGACTGTAACTCCAAATTCAATGGCATTTGCCAGAGAGATGCTGTCTGAACAACAAAAGCCAAGTCTGTGCATTTAAATAAGAAAGTGGAAGAAATGTGTGTGGGTGTTCACAGTGGCTATCCATTCTATTAGATGAATACACATTTACTTCTTTATATGAAAAAGTAAAAATTTCAAATATTTTGTACAGAAATAAGACTTCAAAATGAGAAAATATATAGTAGTTTAATTTTAAACAAGAAAACATAGTTCCCTTTTTTGTTTCCTTGTCTAAAAAATAACTACATTTAATTTGTTCCTAATCTTGCCTATTCCCCATGTGTATTCTGTTCCTTGGTTTCTAACTCTTTCTAAGCGTTTGGTAAAGTAATGTACCAGGCACACAGATACATATATGCTATTTTTTTTTTTTCTTCATGGTGGCTCTTTACCCCTAGTTGTTTTCAATTTTTATTTAAAAGAAATCAAGCTTTCAACTGGCAATAAAAGTGTTCAGATGTTGTAAGCATAAGATGTCTATCTGAAGTAACAATCTTGTTTTTAATCTGATTCCAGAATTTCTTCTCCTTTAATAAAATTTACTTTAAACATTTTAGGGATTGTCCTACTCTCTTAATTTTCTAACTGAAATTCTGGAAAAAGTAAAGTTTCTTATTTTTCCTCTCATTTATTCAAAACACATTTATATTTCAAAATAAATGCAGCAGTTTATATCCACTATATAAGTGAAGTAGTTATTTAATTTCCAGAAGTTGCGTGTAGTTCATTCTAAATCAGGAATTTATACTTTAGTAACTGTGAATCAAAGAAAAAAAGGGGGATGAGTTTTTCTATATTGCTAAGCAGTTAACAAAATTGATGTGTAACCATAAAACAATATGGTTTCAACAAAATGATGTGAAACAATAAAAATTAAACCTTTATTATGAACCAAAATTTAACATATCTACCTATAATATACAATGGTGTCTAAAGAGTACCATTTTCAAGTTTTCCTGATTGCAATATGATGCACAGATGTAATTTGTCCATACTTGATTATATGCTGACTTTTGCTAGGATTGGTCACTTGCTTTCACATAAAGTGCCAGGTAAAAACAATGATGGGTGGACACATAAAATCTCCTTTTATCATTTATCAGAAAATGTAATCTGCAAGTAAGTAATGAAGCCTCCATTAAAGATATAAAAAGAGGACTTGTTTGTATGTATTTGCCCTGTAACCTAGATACTTCCTTTACCTCAAGATTCTCTACCCTGCTAAATGTCTATCACTTTGTTTACACTCCTCTTCCTTCTTGAACTCATAGATTACAGTTAGTTATCTGGGCAGGACGTAAACTCAAGCTATTGTAACAAGCACAGACTTGATATACTTATTCAAATGATCTGCAGAATTTGAATTTTATGACACACTTAGGCATGTGTCATAAGCCCATTCTATATCTTTGTCCTTACTTGCAAAATTAAATTTTTACAAAAATCTATTGTTTGGTCACTTTTGATGTCACTATTCTAGTTTATGTTCTATAGTCCAAGCTTTGTAATTTTAATGTGTAATTCTAATTTTTTATTAATGATTAGGACCTTTCCTGGTGGGTTTTCCCTTGTTTTTAGGATAAAGTCAAAGTCACTGTGGTTAGTATTTTATAATATTTACACATACAGAGCACTTATATTTTTCTAACTTTTAAGCTATAATTCTTGGCTGGCTTATCAATATAGATCCATTTCGATGTGCTTTTCATAACCATCATTGTCGTCATAGGTTATCTCATTGTTTTTCGTTACTTTATTTGGTCCTGTTTAATGGAAGTTTCCTGACTTGTGCTCATAGGCGATTGTGTGTCTTGAATTCATGAGGTTTTTCCTATAATCATTCATTCAATAATTTTTAGTTCTTTTTGTCACTTGACTGGTTCCAAGTTGAGGTAGCCCTGCCCTGATACAGTCTGTGCCTCCAGGCTCTTGACTCATGCAGGAAATAATTCAAAAACCAGTCTGAATAAGAATGAAAGCAGATTTTATTTAAGTTAAAAAAAATAAAAGAGGCTAGAACTTGGGTTCCTGGAGACAGGATCAGGGGTTGAGCCTGGATCTGGCTGCCCTGGCATGGATGTGGGTGAATTTAGGAATAAATTGTGCACCAGGTCCATCAGTTCTTAGAATTTTATGTGTTTCTAAGGATAAGTTGTTTCTGAACTTGTGGCATCAAATTCTGACTCCTTCTAATTAGAAGGGGGGTCTTGTTCTTAATTTGGTCCATTGTGAAAGTGCCGTGGTGCTCATCCACCCCACCCCTTCTAGTTATGGTGTCACTTTTCATTACAATAATAAAATTTTATTTTTTAAATTTTTAAAAATTGATATTAGGGTGATATTGGTTAGTAAGATCACATAGGTTTCAAGTATACAGTTCTACAGCACATCATCTATATATAGTATATATAAGGCAAGCCTTTTTCTATCACCATTACCATTTTCTCTGATCAATGTTTCCTTCATCTTGGATTGATCTGGTTGTAGCTAGTCATTGTTGTTGAATTCTGTAACTACCTTAAGAGTTTCTCCTCCCATAAATTGTTTTCCTTTGATCATACCTGGAGGTGGGCTCTGATGAGAGGACCTAGGGGTTTACCCATCCATGATGCCCCTCCAACTTCCTCATTCCTCTTGTTGGGTGTTTTCCCTATCCTGTCTCGCTTTCACAGCCTAAGAAGTAAAAAATAAGTCTATCACTTTATATTTTTTGGTATTCTCACAGAGGATATGTTTATTTGAGGGAGAGAGATTGATGTGAGAGAGAAACATTGATTGGTTGCCTCCTGTACACACCTGGATCTGGGATCAAACCCACAACCTAGGTATCTGCCCTGACCAGGAATTAAACCCACAACATTTTGGTGTAGTGGGATGACACTCCAATCAGCTGAGCCACCTGGCAAAAGCTAGTCTTTTTTTTTTATTATTAAAAATTTTTTTCTTTTTATTGATTTTAGAATGATACTTTCCAGGTTCCTCCATGTCATCTCAAAGGATAAGAGATCTTTCTTTCTTACAGCTGCATAGTATTCCATTGTGTATATGTACCACAGCTTTTTAATCCACTCATCTACTGATGGACACTTGGGTTGTTTCCAGATCTTAGCTATTGTAAATAGCACTGCTATGAACATAGGGGTACATATATTCTTTCTGATTGGTGTTTCAGGTTTCTTAGGGTATATTCCTAGAAGTGGGATCACTGGGTCAAAGGCTAGTCTTTTACATTATTTCCAAACTACGACAGTCATTTCTCCATTTTTTATTTTTCGTATTAAAATCTAGGTTTGCTGCAAATCCACTTGATATCAATCAATCCCCTGGAACTATAGACTCCACCAGCATTCAGAAAAGCAAAGGATCCATCCCCGGTAATTTCAAACCTAAAAAGGAACAAACAAAATCAATTTGAGAACCACTTACAGCTGTAATCAAAAATAAAATTAAGACTACAGTGACTTGAAATACTTTATACAAAACACTGAGCTCCATACTCACTCATTACCATATGCTACACAAAAATATCTGGTACATTAAAGGAACAAAAGACTGAATGTAGGTATTTATTATTAGTGTAATCCATACATTATTTAGAAAAATAGGAAAAAAGACAGATATAGGTAGATGTGGAAAAGTCAATGATATAAATATATTTCTATATCTATCTACATTTACCTCTATATCTATCATCTATCTATCTATCTATCTATCTATCAATCATCTATCTATTTGAGTTGTTAAATCTAAAGATCTTTGGAATATTTATTAAAAGCAGTTTCCTCAGACTCATAGATACAGAGAACAGTTAGAGTGGAGGGGTGTTGGAGGGATGGGTGAAAAAGGTGAAGGGATTAAGAAATACAAACTGGTAGTTACAGAATAGTCACAAAGATGTATATTACAGAATAGAAAATATAGTCAATAATATTGTAACAATTATGTATGGGGCCGGGTGGGTACTGGAAATTTGGGGGGAACCACTCAGTAAAGTACATGATTGTCTAAGCACTATGCTGTACATCTAAAACTAATACAGGATAATATTGAATACAGACTGTAATTGAAAAATAAAAAATTAATAAAAAGCAGTTTCCTTGCCCTGGCCAGTTTGGCTCAGCAGTTAGAGTGTCGGCCCGTGTATCAGAGAGGCCTGGGTTTGGTTCCCGCTAAGGGCACGTACCTCAGTTGCGGTTCGTCCCCAGCCCTGGTTGGGGTCGTACAGGTGGCAGCCAGTCAATGTGTTTTTCTCACATCGATGTTTCTCTCTCTCTCTTCCTCACTTTCTCCCTCCCACTCTCTCTGAAGATAAATGCAAAAAAATATGTCCTCAGGTGAGGATAAAAAAAAAAAAAGATAGCCACGGTGTATTGCTAAATGATAAAAGGAAGTCATTAAAATAAAAAATAAAAAAAAGCAGTTTCCTGGCATATTTTTAGTAATTATATTTATATATACTTGGTACTCTTGCAACATAATGAGATAAAGCCAAAGAGACTAATTATAATATTGTTTTTATTAATTTGCTCTGCTGATAACAAAAAATATTCCTTTTGGTAATGAATATAATTTGTCCTATTGCATATATTTCAATATTTATTTAATTTTTATCTAGTACTTAATGAAATATTAAGGTGGGAATACATGTTTACAAAAGGAAAGTAGTACAGTTCTTGTAGTTAAAATGGTATGTAAGTGTGGAAACAGCATTCACTCAAATACTTACAGAAATAATGTTATTTATGATGGACATTTGGAAAGTTAAAGACAACTTTATGGTCTCTAGTTAAAGAAAAAAGAGTTTGTATAAATTTAAGTAGCTGGAAAAAGATGTAAGAAATACATGTGCTTTGGCTTGGAATTTGCAAAATAGTTGAAGTTGAATGAGCAGTAGGAGGGCTGATGAGCAAGAGTTTGACAGTAAAAAAAATAAAATAGGAAACAAAAATAAAATGGGAAATGTCACTGTGTCATTTAACAAGATAGAAGGAAGATGGGTTGCTGTAGGG